TTTATTGGCATAAAATATCAGTACCATTTATACATTTTAAAACCAGTTGAAAGCACACATATAAAAATCTAAAAGAACCTTAGACGCAGCTTTAAAGCCAAGGAGAGAAACTTAGCCACCTTCTCTGTAATGTCCGGGCTGAGATCACTTAAAAGTCTATGCACCTTAAGTGCATCAGAACAAGCACCCATACTGGTGAAAGCACACATATAAAAATCTAAAAGAACCTTAGACGAAGCTTTAAAGCCAAGGAGAGAAACTTAGTCACCTTCTCTGTAATGTCCGGGCTGAGATCACTTAAAAGTCTATGCACCTTAAGTGCATCAGAACAAGCACCCATACTGGTTAAAAGAGAATATAAATGTGTGATCCTTAGGTCCGTGTACAGATTACAGTGCAGGAGAACATGAGTGACAGATTCCACGCATTTCTTCCTACATGGGCAGTATCTGGCCAAGTGAGAGACCTTGTTGAATCTGCCGAGTAAGATGGCGGACGGCATGGCATTACATCTGGCCAGGGTGAATGCTCTACGTTGTTGAGGGACCTGCAGAGAGGATAGATACGCAGCCATCGTCCCTGTTGTAAGGGGAATCTCAAAATTCAGAGGAGAGCAGGTCTTATTAGCTAAACTATATAAATTTTGGCGCTCCGAGTCTAACAACCTGTTTTTAATCTGTTGGAATGCAACCGCAAAAGGCAACATGGACAGGGATTCCAAGGAGAGACCCAATACTTTAATTTTCCCTTCGATATATGCTGACCAGTTTGAGAGGTTAAGCTCGGAAAGCATGTGATGTATGAGGCTCCCATGCTCAAAGTTATAACGAAGGCGGAGCCAGTATTTAAAGGTTGTAAGCCACGCACAAGTTTCCATCAGGGAAAAGCCAGTTTCCAAATATATGACCGCATTCGGTACACAATTTGGTAGGGCCATGATTTTACGCAGAAATTTGGATTGGACTCGATCAATGGCGTGGTCAAAAGCTCTGATGCCATACAATAACTGGGAGCTGACTTTG